AAACAACAAAAAGGTTTTAATGCCAGCAATGATGTTGCCAATAAAATTAGAAGTATTGTTTGTGATACTTTGTGTTATGCTTCTTTCAGAGTAAAGAAATGGTCATGGAGAACATTGTGAACTGTAGTTGTTACCTAGTCCTAGCACAAACAACAGTCCTCTTAGAAGTCCACTACCTAACAACAGCAAAACAAACAAAAAACCCATAATTTTTATTGAGTTGCTAATAAGTACAACACAGTATGTTTTTTATGTGTGAAAAGATTTTTAATGTGCCTTGTGTGTCCCTTTTAGTTAACGCTACACTTGCTACAGCTTTTGTGAACTCTAAAATCTAATGGGATGATCTGGCAAGACAGTAGGGAGAACGGAATAGCTCGTTGGACTCTACCTACAATGTGCTGGAACTGACACTGTTTTCTGCAAGGAAGAGTTTGTCTGAGTAAATTTTAAGCAGTTCTGTTGTTAGGCTAGTGTTTTAGAAGGCACGTACAGAACTGACAGACTATTCCAAGCAACATTCTCTTAATACAAAATAAATAAATAAACATAGTTTTCATAAAATTGCCTTAGGGTTTAGAGAATGTCAACCATGCTATGTTTTCCACAATAAGATAAGCATTGTAACGCCTGCTCCTCTACCTTTGGGCCACTCTCTCCTCTAGCACAGATGTCTAGCTTGGCTCAGCGGTGATTGGTGCCTTTGGGAAAACTATCACTTCTGGTGGGAAACAATGTGTGCTTACACAGAAGTCTAAAAGGAATTTTAGCCAGGCACATAAAATCTCCCCAGGCCAGCACAATGACGCAAGGGACAGCAAAGCCACTTACCGGCCAAGCTTGACGACTTTAGCTCTGTCACTAAGACCAAAACCAACCCCTGGTGACTCTGTGTGCTTGTGTGTGTGTGTGTGTGTGTGTGCGCTAGCGGGCGGTGTCACCAGACACCATGGGGCACACACAGGTACACAAATAAATGTAAAAATGAAACACAACAAAAAACACTTTGCAACGATCACTACAATGTCTAGTCTAGTAGCATTCACTTCACATGGAGTGTAGTAAAAACAGACTTTGGCAACACATCCACTAAAACACCATATGCAGAGACGCATCAGGTGCAAATTCAAGAAATAACAGAAGAGTAATTACGTCAATTCAGTATCTTAAAAGTTTGGTGGGAGCCGGGATTTGGTGGTGGCACTCGCCTTTAATCCCAGCACTCGGGAGGCAGAGGCAGGCAGATCTCTGTGAGTTCGAGCCCAGCCTGGTCTACAGAGCAAGTTCCAGCACAGGATCCAAAACAATACAGAGAAACTCTGTCTCGAAAAACCAAAAAAAAAAAAAAAAAAAACCAACAACAACAGCAACAACAAAAAACACACAAAAAAAAGTTTGGTGGGATGGTGGTGGTGCAGACCTTTAATCCTAGGACTCAGGATGAAGAGGCAAGAGGATCTCTGTGAATTTGATACCAGCCTAGTCTACAGAGCAAGTTCCAGGACAGCCTCCAAAGCCACAGAGAAACCCTATCTCCAAAAAACAAAAAAAAAGTTTGAATTTCTAAACACATTATCACTACTATTTTAACTATAAAATCAGAAACGATGTATATCTATTTCACAATTTTAAAAGTACCTTAGGAAAAACACAATTATAAATGCTTTAAAACCACTCATCATGTTTATGTTTTTACTATGTTGTCATATCAAATGTTAGAATTATGAACAAGTAATTATTCACTCATACACTGGCATTTCTCTTCAAATAAATGTATCTGTTTTATAAATACAACGCTCAATCTACAATTGATGCAAAGACCCCACCTGTCAAATCAAATCAATAATCTGAACTGTTAAGATAACCACCTATCCAAGTGGAAACAGCGTCAGGGCTGGAGAGACGGCTCAGAGGTTAAGAGCACTGGCTGTTCTTCCAGAGGTCCTGAGTTCAATTCCCAGCAACCCAATGGAAACAGCATCTTGTTGTGGTATATCCACACACTGTGTGAAGATGTATTTGCTGTGATTGGTTTAATAAAAAGCTGAACAGCCAATAGACAGGCAGTAGGTATGGGCGGGACTTCCGGGTAGAGAAGCCAGGAGACACAGATGGGAAACAGGAGGTCAAGATGAAAGAAAGGTAATGGCATGTGGTAGATTAATAAATATACGAGTTAAGTTAAGTTACAGGAGCTAGCTGGACAAGTCTACGCTAAGGCCAAGCTTTCATAATTAATAATACGTCTCCATGTCGTTGTTTGGGAGCTGGCTGGTGGGACAAAGACTAGTTCCCGAGAGAAAACCTAAGCCTAGATGCAAAGTAAGAAGTAACTCCTGCTTCTTCTCCAGCAGCTCCCCTCTGTTCTAACAGCCCTGCAGTCTCATAGGAGAGAGACCAGCCCTGCAGTCTCATAGGAGAGAGACCAGCCCTGCAGTCTCATAGGAGAGAGACCAGCCCTGCAGTCTATAGGAGAGAGACCAGTCCTGCAGTCTATAGGAGAGAGACCAGTCCTGCAGTCTATAGGAGAGAGACCAGCCCTGCAGTCTATAGGAGAGAGACCAGCCCTGCAGTCTATAGGAGAGAGACCAGCCCTGCAGTCTCATAGGAGAGAGACCAGCCCTGCAGTCTATAGGAGAGAGACCAGCCCTGCAGTCTATAGGAGAGAGACCAGCCCTGCAGTCTATAGGAGAGAGACCAGCCCTGCAGTCTATAGGAGAGAGACCAGCCCTGCAGTCTATAGGAGAGAGACCAGTCCTGCAGTCTCATAGGAGAGAGACCAGCCCTGCAGTCTCATAGGAGAGAGACCAGCCCTGCAGCCAGGACACCCTGCAGTCTCATAGGAGAGAGACCAGCCCTGCAGTCTCATAGGAGAGAGACCAGCCCTGCAGTCTATAGGAGAGAGACCAGCCCTGCAGTCTATAGGAGAGAGACCAGCCCTGCAGTCTCATAGGAGAGAGACCAGTCCTGCAGCCGGGACGCCCTGCAGTCTCATAGGAGAGAGACCAGCCCTGCAGTCTCATAGGAGAGAGACCAGCCCTGCAGCCGGGACGCCCTGCAGTCTCATAGGAGAGAGACCAGCCCTGCAGCCGGGACGCCCTGCAGTCTCATAGGAGAGAGACCAGTCCTGCAGCTGGGACGCCCTGCAGTCTCATAGGAGAGAGACCAGTCCTGCAGCCGGGACACCCTGCAGTCTATAGGAGAGAGACCAATCCTGCAGTCTCATAGGAGAGAGACCAGCCCTGCAATCTATAGGAGAGAGACCAGCCCTGCAGTCTATAGGAGAGAGACCAGCCCTGCAGTCTATAGGAGAGAGACCAGCCCTGCAGTCTCATAGGAGAGAGACCAGCCCTGCAGCTGGGACGCCCTGCAGTCTCACAGGAGAGAGACCAGCCCTGCAGCTGGGTGCCCTGCAGTTGATGGAGGAAGGGAAGCATACATAGTGGGTTCAGTGACAGATGCTCTCTCTCTCCTTAGACAGAAATTGATATGTTCCCCTACAAGTGACTGTGTTCTGATTCAATGCTATCCAATATCCCTTGTTGACTAGGACGTAGGACACCTCTCCTCCATCTACCTGCTCTCTCACCCCTTTGCTGTCATTTCCTGAGATCACATGTGTATTTACCATTAATAGAATCAGGTGGTCTCACGAGCACTGGAGACACGCTGCAGAACCAGGGCAGTGAGGACCAGCACGGGCAGTCACAGGTCTACTCAGGCATCAGGACCCCAACCCCCAAGGGTTTCTCTGTGTAGCCCTGGCTGTCCTGGAACTCCCTTTGTAGACTAGGCTGGTCTCGAACTCAGAGGTCTGCCTGCCTCTGCCTCCTAAATGCTTGGGTTAAAGGTGAGCACCACCACCGCTAGGCCAGACTGGCCTTCTTCCCTAGCCAGCATTATGCAGAAATGACTGACAGGCCACAGCACACACAGTCACCATGGTCCACACAGGGACAGCGTCTCTCTTCAAAACTCCCAAGACGCCCGTCTTTTAGTTGTCACTGGAGATTCTGAGACAGTCTAATGTCCCTGCTTTAAATTTCCCATGAAGAAACCAATATTCCTTCGAATACTAATACATTCTGAAGTCCTTTAAATATAACAGACATGAAACCAAATACAGTCAGTTCTAGTAAACAAATAGTGAAGATCCCACCAGGAGGTGAGAACAGGACAGGAGAATGGATCCCACCAGGAGGTGAGAACAGGACAGGAGAATGGATCCCACCAGGAGGTGGGAACAGGATGGGGGAATGAGGGTAAGAGGAAGTCTGTAGAGGAGGAGACAGAGAAGGGACCTAGCCTCTGTCCTAGCCATGCTCATCAGCATCGTCCAATGAAGAGCGGCTCCTCAGAGTCACAGAGACCGGCTGTGTGAACAGCTCACCTATCCTCGCGACATCAGCTAATTTCCTTCATGTTTTGGTCTTAGCCTCCTTATTCACAGAATAAGGGGAGTAGCAGTAGCTACTCCTTGGCTCTTCACAAGTATGTGCAGTTTTGACATTAAGCTATCTAAAACCAAGTACTTACTGTCTCTGAAAACCCTTCTCTATGCATCTGAAGTAAATGTACTCATCTATGCGTGTTCCCTTACATATGGAAGCACGAAACTCATCTATCATCTGTATTATCTTCTTCATATGCAGTAAGAAAACCAAAGAACACAAAGTCACATCAGTTCCTTCAGGGGCACATTAAGAGAAAGGAGTTAATTAAGATCAGCTTCTCTTAATTAAGATTAAGAGAAGAAACAACAGTAAAACACAAGGTTTCAGCTTCCAGGCAACTAGGCCTTGCTGGGCAGGACCCTCCTGTCAGTAAGGGCACACACAGCACCTCACGCAAATTCACACCCGCTTCCGGATCTTCAGGGAGGGCAGGCTAAACAGAGTGCGCTTCTGGAAAGCAAGCCAACTATTCCTTGCCTGGTAAGAGTCAAACTTACTGACAGACCGGACACGCGTGCGGCCATCTTCGCACAGGAGAGACCGTACCTGGCCCATTAAGGAAGTCCTTAATCTGTAGCGTAAGAAGCGAAGCAGGGATCCCGCTTTTGCAGTCTGTTTCTCCAGGCACCGTCTGCAACCACACAGTGTTATAGTCAAGGGCTTCCGGCAGAGTCTTCCCAGGATCTAAGTGACAAAAGTGAAAAAAACAAAACAAAAAAGCATCGGTCAAACCACAAGCACCTCGGTTTGGTCCATGAATCTGGGTGGACAATTAAGATCAAAGCATGGTTTACACTGTTGTATGCAATCATTATTTCCTTTATTTGCAAGTATATGGTGTGTGTGTGTGTGTGTGTGTGTGAGTATCAAAAAAGATAAATTAAGTATATGAGGGGTGGATGGTAATACTGGAAACAGACCAAAATAACTTCAAATTTTAGGTCTCAGCGCCTGTGCGAAGGTAAAGACTGGATGCTGACGGCTGGATCCTACCTCACACACAAAGGGAAACAAAGGGGAAAAGTGGCAAGCTTGTCAGCGAAAAACGAGGCTCCTACATGTTCAATAGGTGTAGCAGATACGACTGCTCAGGGTTAATCTGATCTGTTTCAAAATCACGTTTTATGGCAAGGCTTTTGAAGTTGCCGCCAGTAGCCTTCCCCAAACCCATTTTCCCGTGATGATAGTTTGTCAGCCTTTCGCTAGCTAAGACTGTAGCTTCTGACTCTTTCCACTGGAACATTTTTCCATTTTATATTATGCATTTCAATCTTTTTCTCTTTAGCATTGCATATCCTTTAAGAATATGTTTTAGATACTGGTAATGCCAAAGAACTTTCTTTTAAAGGATTGGAAATCTACAGGTTTTTTTTTTATTTATTTAGATAGCTCTTTAAAGAAGTGACTGCTGTATGTTGGCATATAACATAACAGGCTTTAAAAATGGGCTTTTCAATATCCAATTTTTCTTCGATTTCACTATTGCTTTATTCTGTTTTAATGTCCTTTGAGTGCCATTTTTTATAGAGATGTTCTTGCCATGGAGTCCATCTATCCCATTTCCAGCCTATCTGAAATGTGCTATGACAGCATTATTTATTTTAGGCTTTATTGATTGGCTTGCTTTCAAGAATAGCATTTACATACAGTATATTATATTCAACATATGGTTATATAGTATTACTGTCATATGTGAACTGGGCATATAAATTCTGCCTTGGAATTTGTGTTTCTTGACCTTATCATGTGATCCTTATGAAATATGGCACATAGGAACCTTTATGTTATTTCAAAGAAAATCCTGAAAGCAATTGGTTGTGACGTCCAACGTATGTGGTAAAGATCAAACACCAAGCTAGTGCATGCTTCCCTTTCATGACTGGTGAATTTAAAGCAGGGGGATATGGAGAGTGGTCCCATTACACAGTCACAACACGCTGTCCACTCTTCCAAACACAACAGTCATGCCTGGTGAAGGCATGGTAACTTTCTGTTGATGGAAGACTCACCTCAGTTTGCAGGAGTTGTGTAACCTAGCAGTACCTGAGTCTCTTCCCAAGGCATCCTCTATCTGAACATCACCAAAAGTGATTTTATTAAGTAAATTGTTTATGACATAACAAATAAAGCTTGCCTGAAGATCAGAGTGCAAAGCTAGGCACAAATAAGCAGTAATCACGATGATATAATGGATGAAAGTAGCCATGACAAAGAACAGAGATCCACTAAAATTGGTGTGGAAATACTAATGTGACGTACAGAACACTGGCAAGGAAAACTCAAAACAACTCATTGAAGTACACTGTTCAGTTTGTTGGAAGGCAGAAGTCTGCCGTACTTATGGCATCTAAACACTACATTCTAGAGCAAAGGACTCTGGGCAGGACACGGGACTTTAAGTACAATACCCGATACATGGTAATCACAATCCAAACTAGAGAATACAGAGGCTGATACTGACTAAGGAATCATGGAAAACAACAGAGCTTGGAAAGTAAGCAGACGACATGGGTACCACTGAACAGAATCACTGAGAATGGAACAGAGACATTAGTGGGTGCTGGATCTCAGCATCATCCACAGAACTCAAGCAGAGATCTCCTCGGAACAAGGCGGACCAGCACTAAGATATTCGGCAGCCCCTGTTTTGGTGGTCTAGAAGGAGGCATCAAGTGCCCTCTAATGCTGGAGACATTTATATGTGTGTTCACTGGAAACCGCAAACTAACTTTAGAAGTGGCCCCCAGAATAGACATACACGCACACATTCAAACCTCCTGACAATCTGCCTATCGTTTTCTCCGGGGTTCTGTAGGAACCGACTGTTGCTCTTCTTACGAGTCAAGTTTTCCAACCACACTCTTATGCTTTGTGCAGGCATACACCCTTAAACAGATGCAGGAAAGAGACTCACTTTCAGAATTTTATTTTTAGATAATTATTCCTATATAATGCCCTCCCCCGCACAACCATACATGTATTTATTATTTACTTATTTTTGAGGCAGGGTCATAGCTTGGACTGTCCAAGAACTCACTGTGTAGACCAGACTGGGCTCATCCATACCATACCTGCCCTTCCTCCTGACTGCTGGGATCAAAGGCTGGTCATTGTTTCTTTTTTTTATAAGTACTAGAAGATGATTGCTCTTGAGACAAGCTTAAGCACACGCTGATGCATGGACTGTGAGATATTCAGGAGGGGGGGATAAAGTGACTCTTTACTAGAGCGTTTAACAAGAAATAGGAATGGGAAAGGAAGGCCAATTCTGGAAATGTGACCGAGTGTTTCCCAGGTTGGTAAGGTTTAGGACAGAAGTTGGAGGAGGGTCTGGCCACCTTGAACCCTGGCAAGAAATCAGCTCTGGGCCAGTTACAGGGCTCTGAGTAGGCAGGGGAGACAGCAGACCAACGGGGAAGAGGAGAAGCGGGGCCAGAACCAGGAGTCGAAGCCACCGCAAACATGTAGGGATCGAGCCAGGGAAGCCAGTACTCTGACGGCTACTTAAAGAACACTGGAGCAACTGGGTTTAAAGTGTACACGGATTCAACAGGTTGACAGGGTAACTGAACTGACAAACACCCAAAGTGTCCGAATGCACGTCCTCTCTGAGTCTTAGAAGAATGCCTAGTTCACACTGTTAACAGGGCCATCCTGGTGGCTGCCGCACCAGGGGAGCAAAAGCTTATGTGAGAATTCTCGGGCGATGTTTAATTTTCAACATCACTGCATGCTCTCATGACTATACGATGAAAAGGATGATGTCTAAGGCTTCCTGAGTGCCACCTTCAATTTAATTTCTCCTAAGTGCCATCATCAGGACCGGACAATGGGATGCACATTATGTATTCTTCAAGGTCCACCCGTATACCTGGGAAAGCACCAGATAAACGGAGATTAAAGGATCTTGTTAAGATTATATAGAGTGACAGATAGAGACAGCTGTTTCACATTGGATGCTCCTCTAGGCTCTTCATATGTAGTAAACACTTATTTATTGAGTACTGGAAGCTCTCAAAGTGGATAAACTTCGTGTCTCTAAGCCTATGAAACTAGGGAAAGTTTCTTTGTGCTTTGTTTGTTTGTAATGAGAAACCATGGGTGGGAAATGGGACAGAAAAAGTGACCGACTGCTCACAGCCATACACTTTATTCAAGTCAAGGACTGGCAAAGCTGTAACATTTACTTCCCTTTAGGGAACACTCACGAAAGAAAATACTCTATTCTATCATTCCAAAATGCCCGAAGAGAACAATCCCGAAAGCCTGCTTTCACCGCCTGTGGAAGTCTTTATGAAGGCAATCCCAGGTCAATAGAACCGTGGAGTTCGGGAGGTTGAGCGTGGAGGGGCGTCTGCTGGGGGCTGCCTTTGCTCTCCTTCAGAGGATTTCACTCGGCTGCTTGAGAGCTTCCACTACACCCAGAGACAGCCATCTTGGAATGCTACTGTTATTTTTAATTCCTAACAAGTAGTCACAGTAAGTGTATCTTTGGTGAACATTTGGACTGTACAAAACACAACATAAATTAAGAACAGACAATTCAAAATAGGTGCAGAGATCAATATCCAAAAGTTCTTTGAAATCGCCTACTCACCAAAAAAAGTGTGCAAAAAGCTCCCAATAGAACAGCTAAATGACAATAAAGCACTTTACTAATTATTTTTCTTTGTTCCAGGAGAGGATGCAAGGTGTATTTTTGTTATAACAAAGCTGACTTTTACTTAGGTACTACAGATCCTTTTTCACAGATCTCAGTGTTGTGTCCTTTTTGAGAGTGACGTGGCTAGGACTAGGTGATGAGGCCCAGGTACTGCCCAGCAGGCTCATGGAGACAAAACATTACTTACATTTACTTACTCATCCAATCATTTATTTATGTGTGTGTGTGCGTGGCTGTGGAGTCTGAAGAAGGCACTGGACCCCATGAAGCTGTAGTTGCAGCTGCCTGACTTGGGTCCTGGGAACAGAACCCTGGTCTTCTGAGAGAGCAGTGAGCACTTTTAATGGATCAGCTCTCTCTCCCAGCCCCTCATACATTTTATGAGCGATGACTGAGTTTTAAATAGCCAAGCACATAAAAATCTACTTCTTTCAAAGTTCCTATTCTAGAAAAGTCTAGTGGGACTCGCCTCTTTCCTCTTACAGGGAGTTTCCACTGCTGGCACTGGTGCCCCAAAGGGAATTGGTTAAGTAGTGCTGGAAAGAGGAGTTACTCTAGTAGCAATTTCTCTGGGAGTTCCAGGCAACATACTTTGTCGTGATAGATACAACTAACCAGAGTCACAAATTTGTTTGGATTACACTGGTGCCATTTTCAATGCTACCTGTACCAGTAATTTCCCTCCTTCCTGTGACAGAATACTCCCAAGAAAAGCTTGGGGAGGCTTCCTTTAGACTCCTAGTCCCAGAGTCCAGTACATCGAGGTAAACTATTCATGGTGGCAGGGGCTCGAGGCAGCTGGTACTGAAGCAGAGAGAGACAATGCCACTGGCGTTCAGTTCACTTTCTACTTCTTATTCAGCCTAGGACCGCAGTTCATGGGATGGTACTGCCCCTAGCTACAGAATCACTTCCCATCTTAACTAACCTAATGTGGAAATTCCCTCGTGAGCATGCGCCCAAAATTAACCTGTCTTGTCAAGACTTCACAATCATGCCTAGAGGTTGGTTTGGCAGGTGA